TATTATTTTATTATCAGAGAAAATCACCAAATGAAATGAAACAACTAGTTTTAAGAAAAATAAGGATTTATTATTATTATTTTTTTGCAAAAATTCTTTACGACATTTTTTAACAGATTCAGAAATTCCATTGTCCTCCCACTACAAAATCGTATTCGTATATAATTTCTTAAATTTATTCTTTTATAATTTTTCTTTATTATTTTTATATCTGACCAAAAACATTACAGTATATCGTGTTAATATACGAATAATATAAATGGTGGCGACAAAAAAGTTAAGAATTCTCTTACATAATGTAAAAAGAAGAATAACATAAAAATAAATGTAATTTACTGAGTCTAGAATATTTCCAAAAATAGAAAAATTTAAAAGCAAAAAGAAGTTGAATGAGTTGCAAGAAAATGAACTATAAGTCTGGTCTGTCTACTATGAGATTATTACAACTTAAAAGTTAAATTTTCTAATGTATTTGTGATCTAGAATATTTTAAAATTTTCGTTGATTAATAAAATCCTATAAGAATTTCTTGTATTTCAAACAGAATCATATACAATCATCATACATAATCATCATACATAACTATCATACAAACATTTAAAAAGAAATTACAAGGAAATGAAGCCAACGATATAACTGATGATATTAGAGAACAACCTCAATTCGACCTATAATAAGAATGTTTTGTATGAAATCATTTCAAAATTTTATTGTAAGGAATTTACAATCAAACTACCGGAAGATGATTTTAACTAAAGCAAGGCAGTTTTCCGGAAACGTAGTGTTTAATTTCACTCTTTCAGACAGAGTGAAATTGTTCGAATTTAAAACTTGTCACTAGATTTTGCTTGTTGTGGTTAGTATCTTCATGAGTATTCCAATTTTAGCAGTTTATTCTGTTGAGAGAAAACCCTGATTTCTTTGGTTTTCATATTTCTTGGTTTTACTGTCTTTTAACGCCACTCAACCTTCATTATTTCGCTTCTCTGAGGATTCTGCAAGGCAACACAACATCCAATACATATTTTGAATATCAATAAAATCTCCTCAGTAGGCAAGAAGGAAATTACATTTTAGACATTTTAATTAAAATTATGTGTGCGCTTCTGTTGTCCATACCTTGTGAGATACCAGATGAGTTATATTTAAAAACCAAGTTAATGCTCCTATTATATTATTTTCAAAAAAATTATTTGATTGACATTGTGATGCATTAAAAAATATAATTTCAAATTTGAAGATTGAAAACTTCAAAAAAATCAGGTGTCAAATCTTTTTGTAACTTGTACTTAAAATAAAGTATAGAAAAAAAATATTACAGATCATACAATTTTCATGTCATAGTCATTTCAATCACACAATATTATTTGAGTCCCTTGCATAAATGCCAATCAAAAGCATAAGTTTTCTTTTCAAGTATTTTCCAACCATTTATTAAATACAAAATAAATTCTTCAGAACCATAACTGTAGTTTCAAGTGCTCATCTTTGTATGTATATGTGTATATTTCGAATTTTGTAATATCCTGGTTCTCAACAGTTTTGCAATGTCATTAAGGAAGAGAATGCAGAAAATTTTTTTTTGTTTTGAAAAACAATTTAACTTTTCAATTTGAAAGCAGAACTCTTTTTGTGTCATATTTTTTTTGCTGTCACACAAATTTACAATGTTGTACATACAAAAAAAACACATGAAAATGATTAGATAAACACAAAAACAGCATTAAAAATTGTAAGGTTTATAAAGGGGAAAGGAAATTAAAACTAAAACTGAAACATTCTGCTATTATCCTTGCACATATTTTTCATTCATCCTTGATATTAAAGAAAATTTCACTTATTTTTTTCCACTTTCAAGTCACTTTTCTGTCTTTTCTTTTAAAGTATTTTAGATATAATGAAAATATTGTAACTATGACAATAAAATTGGTCACAAAATGCTTAAACTTATGGTTATTACACATTTCTTGAAATTATTTGGAAGAAAAATATGTACACGTATATGGAACGAATGACAACCATTGAAACTAATCCTTTGAAAAATAGTTTTTTTTTTTGAAAATACAATTTAGATAAATAAAAAATATTAGTTTTTATTATTCTAATTGAAAATAGCAAATGACAGACTTCAAGATAAAGAAAATTAATTCATTTTCTTTGTCATTCTTTTAGAACAAAATTATTTAATTGAGTGGACAAGAATATAATGTATTATATTGTTCCTCAAATGTCCTAAATTGGTCAGAATAGAATTTTGGAAGCATTTACAAAAATATTAAGCATTAGAAAAACATACACAGAGAGAAAATACCTGTTGAATGAGCAGTTATATTGTACTCTCTTTGGAATTTATGATCAGATCAGTACGGTCTTGGTGAAATCATCATGTTTATGTTTACAATGAAAGAACACCGTCAAATAATCGGAATTTGATTTGATAATCGAACGTTCCATTGACGCATCTCCCATTCAAAAAATTGTGGACAATAATGAGTATTAATATAATGCTAATGAGGTTTTATTCGCTTGCATTTGAAAGTCAAAAAATTATTATACATGATGTTCCATATAAGGTTGTAAGAATAAAGAAAATTTATTGATAAATTTTCAGCACAAAATTATATATTGCCGAGGGTTGAAATTGGACATGGTGATTTTCGAGGTAGACTAGTTACTAAGCAGGCTAAAGTTCTTGTTACCGAGCTACAGGCTGTTGAAAAAGTGAATACCAAATCTTTTCTTCATATGAATAAATACTTATAAGTTCAGAATCATTTGACATAAAGTAGTCATTAGGTAGTTGTTTTACAGATAATTGGTTTTACAATTAATAAGATCTGAGTTCCGTCAGGATAAAGGTCTGCATTTAATTTGACCGTATACGATATTTGATATCGTAAAATTTTTTTTTAAATATTCAAATGAAATACGTTATTGATATAAGCATTTCCAAAAAACCAACTCTTAAATCAGAAATTACCAATTATAAATTTTTATAAGAAATCCTTTAATTACAAATCTTCACAATTTTACTGAAATTGTGGTGAAAAGATTAACATTTTTTTTTTCACAAAATTTCTCTAATTTTAGGATTTTTTAAACTTTTCATAGAAAACCAAAAAACATTTTGTTCTTAAATTAATAATTTTCTTTTTAATCTTTTCGAAAAGAATGACAAACAATATTTTTTAACATAAACCTTTTCTATATGTACAGGTTACCTTTAACTTTGAAAGATTACATTGTTTTTTTTTTCTGTACCTTAATCATGTCACATAATTAAAAGAAATTTGAACAGAGAAGCGGTAAATTAAACCTGAAATGTGTTCTAATTAACAAAAAGTATTTTTATGCCAAACCTCAAAAAAAAATTTCAAGAAGTGTGGGTGGAGGAAGAAAATAACAAAATAAAGGGAAAAAGTTAAATGAAAATATGAAAAATTTCCAGAAAATTAAAAACATTTTCATTTGCTTTTTTTTTCTCTTTTTTTTTTTTGCTATTATTTTTTTTTTATTATTATTTTAGTTGTTATTATTATATTTTACTTACACATTAATTCCAATTCTGTTTTTTTCATTCTTTTCTTATTTATTGCCTACTTTTAGGATCATTACGTGAAAATCGTTCCATAAAGAGATTAAAACACACTCAAAGGAAGGAAAGAGAAACAATAAGAGAAAAGGAGAGGAATAAAAGGATTTTTTTTTATTTTATTAACCAAAAAAAAAAAATAAAGGAAAAATTAAAGGACACAATTTAATTCAAAAGGTAAACAGATTTCGTTACCTTAAATAAAATATAGAAACAGAAAACAAAAATGTTAAAAATAACAAAAGTGACAGCAGCAGCATCTAAGGGATATAAAGTACATGAAAACCAGTTATTTGGCTTCAAAAATGCTGAAATATAGGTCTTAATTATAATAGAAATAAAAATTTAATAATTAAAATAATTCAACGGATTTAAGAACAGGAATAAACCGAGTCGGAAATTTAAATCACGTCTTATACGAAACAAATTGCTAAGAAAATTAATTTTTATAAATTTTTTTTTTTTTCTTTTAATATTTACAAAATTTTAATTAAATAAATTTTGAATTGGCGACTTTAACGATACTTTTTATTATTTTATATCTTTTAATATCCTACCCTTCCATTACTATGTCCAATACTAATATTATAAATAATACTAAAAATTTAATAAATACTAGCTTTTACGTGAATTCTACAGCTTCTTATATTTCAAATGACACTAATATTATTGGGAAGGAACAGCTTATTGCTACTAATAATACTAATAAAATTAAACCTAATATTAAACCTTATAAAATGCTAGACCTATTAAATAATAACACTATGGAATTAACTCTTAAGAACAAAACAACTACACAATCTAAGGAACTATTACTGAAATTAATTAAAGAATCTATTCTAATATCAAAACAAAGGAAACCATACAAATTTGGTAATGATTTTAAAATGAAAAAATTAAATAATTCTTTAATAGCAAATTCATTATCAACTCTTCCACCTATAAGTAATAATCAAAATAAAATTTATAGCAGCTATTATAATAATGAAAATTCAACTATAAATTTAAAAAAATATAAAAATTTTTCAACAATAAAAAATCTAAATACAACAATTAAAAAAATTTTATATAATTTAATTAATTCCACACCCTATTATCGTCATTCAAAAATTTTACTCAATTCTATGATTAAATCAAATGATAATAATAATTATAATAATAATAATAATGGAAATGAATTCAATGATAATAGAATTGCAAGATTAAATGAATTTAATTTGATAACATTTCATAATCACGACAAGAATAATAATTATAATATGAATTCTTTGCATGAAAGTAATAATAATAATAACAATAGTAATAATTATAATAATAATGATAATAATTATCATAATAATTTACCATTGATTTCAATCAATAAATCTAAAAGTAAGGTATTCAAAATAAAAAATTCATTGAGCGGAAATCTCCGAAAATTTCAATTAAAAAATAATTTTAAAAAAATTACAACAATGCAACCACAATATTATAATTTGAAACGAGAAAATTTTCATAAAATACGTAGACAAATACGTAGTAATAACAGTAATAATAAAAATAATAATGATAGTAATATTGAAAATAATATCAAAGGTAATTTAAATCATCATCAACATCAAGTTCATAATTCATTGGAAGAGAAAGAATTTTCAATTTTATTATCATCGAATGAAATCAATCAAGATATTTCATCAGTATCAACAATAGAAACGACAACAACAACTGCTATTGCTGCAGCAAGTAATAATAATTCTAATTCAACTACAACTATAAAATCAATAGCATCACTATCAAATCCATTTGATTATTATTCTGAAATAACAAATGATTCATTAGTAACAACTAGTTTACCAAATTTAATGACAACATCTGCATCATCAAAAAATTTACAAGATAAGAAAAATTTTACATTATCCTCAACATCAGCTGGAGGAACAAAAGGAACAGGATATATTATACAAAATGTAACAACATCAAGTAGACCAACACCACCACCACCACCACCTCCAACATTACCAACAAATCATTTTAATCATAAACATCAAGTTAATTTAAATAATGAAAAACGCCCAACAATAATTATTTATCCTACAGGTATGTAATATTTATTAATTTTCTCTGTTATTTAAATATTAATATTTTTTTTATAATATTTGTATAAATTAACATGCTAGCTGTAGCCTGTTAACAACAGTGCATATGCTGTTAAATTTTTGAAGAATTGACATAACATTTTCCATGACTTCATATTTGCACAATATTGATTATATTAAGAAATTCGAATCAATAAGTTAAATTTATATCAAAACTTATCGTCAACATATATCAATTATTTGAATGAACCATGTTTCATGCTGGTAGATTTTGCTGACTGAACTAGAGTAGACAGAACTTTGCTTTTAAAGCAAAATTGAATTAGATTACCGTACGGCAAGTAAATAGAGTGCTTTAACTTAATATTTTGCCAATATATCAGCCAAAAACTGGGAAAATGCTTAGATAAAGCATTAGGCAAATGAAGAAAAGATGGCCAGCACAGGTCACAAGTTTCAAGGCCAACTTTGGTCTCTGCACAAGAGATATGGACCTGGATTTTTCTTCAAGATTTGGGGAATGTCCGCCATCAGTCAGCTTTCAACTTTCCTCCAACTCTCGATAGAGATCCTACCATCTTCTTGCACCTAGTCCACCACAGTGACAACAAGATATTTCTTCAGGATCTTATTGAAAGGCGTCGCAGTGGGTGCGTTCAATGGACTGCTGGGTGGCCTTGGACTTTTAGCTTTCCGAGGAAGTTCCTCTATGCGTTCCTCTTGCTTAACCGCTTGTCCACAATACTCTTGGCCCCCCTGTATGTCGATCTTTCTTCTTCAGACCTATCTTTTTCCGGAATCCGGCCGATTCTTTTCAGGTTCCTGAAGACAGACCGTCGTTCTCTATAGGCCCTTTGCAAAAGCATTATCGTTGCTGGCGACGTTCTTTTGTTGCTCTGACTAGTCTGTGCTACTGTAGCCATCGAGCTACTACCAACACTAGGCCTGACTGAGTCACAGCTTTGTGTGCGGTAGCTTTGTGTGCGGTAGCTCGATCTCGGTTGGGACGCCTCCCGCACCTTGGGTTTTGCTTCTTTTTTTTCTCTGACTAGTCTGTGCTACTATAGCACCTTGCGTTTTACACCAGTGCTTTTCGCATTTTTGGTGCTCACCTGCGGTTTTTATACTGAACTCGTCTTCTCTCGCCTTGGGCTATTTGTCCGGGCCTCCAGCCAAGCTGACTATCGGCACCTTTCGCGTAACACCTTAATCCGGCCCAGCGGGAATTTGGAGTGATACACAGGACGAATAGGTACGGGGGAAGGGTTTGATTATCTTTTGGTTTCAGGCCTCATCTGGGGACGCATCCCGAAACTCCTTGACCCTACTCCTTCAATATGGCAAGGTAGATAATCCCGTAGAACGTAAATTTAACAAGATTTTGGTAAATCTGATTGTTTTTTATATAGATTCGGCGGGAACGATTAGGATACGGCCAAAAATGTATGGCAAAAATTGTGCAACTGTTCCGCTCTGGTCCCCAGAAGAGACTAATGCTTTGGAAAGAATTTTCAAGTAGCTCAGGTCCAATTCCATGAAGGTTATCTCTGTGCATTTACTTGAGACCGGCTAGCTACGGTGGCCGGAACGCAGATGTTCTTTTTCTCACATTTTCCGTCAATAATCTACAATCTACAGTCTACTTAATTCATATAAAAAAATTCTAGTGTTCAATATTTAAACCAATCAATTAAAATATTTTAAAGTATACAATAAAACAAGAAGAAAAACAAAATTAAAAAAGTCTGCCAATCTTATTTCATAATCAGATGATTCCCAAACCCAACTTTCAATTTAATTTCTCCTCCTTATATAATCTATTATTTTATTTTTATAAAGAAATTCTAAAAATACCACAACAATACTACAAAATTTCAATATTAGACTTATACGAGTACATAAAAAACATAAGCACAAGAGCAGAAAAACATCCGAAAATAGTTTAAGAAAAAAAAACCAGAAATAATTTTTAACCTTCAAAATGTTTTCAAAAGTTTAGAAACCGGAAGAAAATTAAAATTAGGAAATTTCCAAAAATATTTTCTTTTTCAAGTTTTTCTTTATTTTTTTTTCTCATTTTGAAAAGTTTCTCTTTCTTTCAAATGAAAAATCACTTATTTATTTTGGTAAGTAAAGCAAGGCACAAAACAAATGTCCTTGAGAGAAAATATTAACCATACCTAGTTTTTTCAAAATCTTAAAATTTAAGTAATAGGAATGAAAAGCAATTGAAAAGGCAAGAATGAACAAAAATTAATTCAAGTATTTTTATTTTGAGTCAAGAGAGGCACGAGATTTCTCATTTTTGCTTCTGTTTTTTTTTTAAATTTTTAGCGATTCATTTAAGCGACTCTAAAGTAAATTTCTAAAATGTTTGGAAAATAAATATTGAGAATTAAATAAATAGAAAATTAATAATTGTGGTTTGCGTAATAAGAGCTCGGATTGATTTTGTGAAAAACACAATCATCGAGGAAGATTGATGAGCGTATATAATTCGATTTCAATGCAATTGTGTCAACATTAACGCCATCTACATTTTTATTTACAAGTTTTTTTCTGTTATACAACAATGGAGTCTTTCTTATAATAGTTTCTGAAGTTCGATGGTAGTTTAGATTATTGATTAAATTTTCAATTATGCAAAAGAATTTTTTCAATAAAATTCATAATAGATTTTAAGCGAAAAGAACTATGAAGAAATTGAATGCAGCCACCTTTCTCTTTTCTCTTCGAATTCTTTTCGACATTCTTTAACTAAAATGAATTGAGTAGTTGAGTAAGGTCCGAGAGTAATAAGGATTTTTCGAAATAGCAAACTTTGTCCAATATTTCAAATACCCAAAATAGCGATGTCAATCCAAGTTTTGGAAAACTTTTATGATACCAAAAATATCAGATCAAGAAAATTAATGAGAAAAAGAAAAAGAGAAACGAAGAGAAAACAAAAAATATTAAATTAAGTCTAAGGATATTTTTTTTTCTTAAAATTGTTAAATTGATTACATACTTGTATAGACAAGAAAATTGGAAAAATATTTGTATAAGGGATTAAAGTAAATTTAGAAAGAATAAATAAGAAAATCAGAAAACAGAAATTTAAAGTTGAACAATTCTTTAAGAATGTTGTTTTTGAAATTGATTGAGAAGACGACGGACGATACGGTCACTTCACAAAAAATGTTATTGATATAGAAATTTCAATGGAAAGCATTCCAAATTGAGAAATTTTTTATAATATGCAGGGTTGTTGTTACCGTGTGGAGTTGACATAGATCTTCGTCTAAAAGAAAAAGGAAAACCGATTTGAAGGTAAGAGTTCCAAAATGCGAAATATTGTCTGTGGTTGAATTTTTCAAGAGTAGATAATATTTTGACTTTACTTTCACAAATTCGAAAGGCAGCGTCATAACAGGCATAGGAAATCCCTCACTGAATGTTAATGTATCCTGTTATTAAGGACACATCAAACTTTTTACCATATGTGCAAGTTCTAGTACATTTCTATAAAGTCAACTGCATTCAACCGTAAATTTTACCGACCTTTAATACTCTTAATACAGAACATAGAAAAAAAATTTTCTATATTCAATTTTGCATATAGAACACATGTGGTTCTTTCAATATCAAATGGATGCACAACTATAGTTATGTACAATACTTTACATATAAGGGTGTCCCATATACGATAGTATTCCTGAAGCAAAAAAATAATAAAGAGAAACTTTATGCTTCCTCTCTACAAGTACTGGAACCTAAAGTTTATCTCCATGGAATTGAACTTTCGAATTTCTTTTTCTTTGATCTCCAGTTATTCACTCACAAAATTTGTCTCTATAGCAGTGAAAAATATTAATTTTTCTTCCTTCATATTAGGTCTCAAAAAATACTTCCATAAAGTTTCTCTTCCTACATTTCTCCTGATAATGCAGAAACTTAGGAAATGCATAGTCAATTTTAAAGTTAAAATTATTTTAGAAAAGGCTATTGACTTTCAGTTCTAGAAGGCTATCCCTGTTTCGGGCACCTTATTTGTACAATATATTCGACAGTTATGTATAAATAGGGTATAAGTATTTCTCTTCTTCTTGTAAAACAACAAGAAAAAGTGTAATATTGGTAAGAACCAATATACAAGAACAATTCTTTCCTCTTTCTATTGTTAAAATTTGCATGGAAATCTTTGTAAAATAGAAATGTAATAAAATTTTTATTCAAAAAAAAATCTAAATTACTCCTCTCAGTTTTGTTTGTCCCAAGTACTATATTTGAATATTTTGTTCCTCTTTTTTTATGTTTTTTAATGAATTCAAGTAAAATTGAAGAGGAAGGAAATCATAAATGTTCGTCCGGAAAACTAAGTATTATTTTCGTTTTTATTGTAATTTATATTTTGTATTTGTCTATGGGTTCTTCTAAAATCGTTTAAGGATTATTGGAATAGAAATTTTCGTTATAGTTTTTTTTGTTAAATTTGAATAAATTGTATAAATTTCAATGCGCCATCTAATCTAACAGTTTATTATTAAAATAACAATATGATTTTTAGGTTAAGGAGCAATAAAAAGATTTAATTTGTATTTATAATAATGGTTTTTAATATCAAATTTGGTAGATCAAGCCAAAAAGAAACAAATTGTTAAATTCGTATCACTATTATTCAATAAGAGTTCTTACTTATATTGAAGTTGTGCTGTGATTGTACTAAATAATATTCGACTCATAAAAGAATTTCGATATCGTGCTATTTGCATAAAGATTTTGTATTGAAAAGAGAAAGATTATTGGAACATTCATTGTTATAGTCGATAACATCTGCAATTTCAATACCCTGCGGGAGTCCGTTTCTGATGGAAAGGTAGAAACATATTTTGTAAGGTTTCTTATATACAAGACATTATTAAATTCTATGGAGAAGATGATAAGACCTCAGCAGACCTTTCATGATACGATGCTGCTCTAACTCGCAGGGGAAGGGAAATACTGGGAAATTTTGCTATC